CAATCAGGTCAGCAGGGGGGGCGGCAGTTGGGGGTGACCAGGCCGGCAGGGCGGAGCAGTTTGGGGAGATCAGGCCAGCAGGGGGTGGGCAGTTAGGGGTGATCAGACCAGAAGAGGGGATAGTTGGGGACGATCAGCAGGCAGAGTGGTTAGGGGCAATCAGGCAGGCAGGCAGGGGAGTGGTTAGGAGCCAGCTGTCCTGGATTGCGAGAGGGATGTCCAACTGCCAGTTTAGGCCCGATCCCTGTGGGGCCTAAACCGGCAGTCGGACATCCCTCGAGGGGTCCCCTAGTGTCTTATAACATTTTAATCTAATTTTAGAAAACAAAATTGGGATTCTCATCTGCAAATATTTGAATATAATATTAAAATGTGAGCATTTCCCACATTATTGAGTGTTCTTGGAAAACCTTTTGGCCACATGGTATTCTCTATGTTAAGCAATTTATTCAACATTTGTTTTGAACATTTTAGTTACTTGTAAATTTTGCTGTTGGGAATATCACTCAGATAAGAACCCTTGTGCACGGACCTCTCTTAGATAACTGTCCTTGTGTACAGATCTCTGTCTACATTTCCATCTTTCCTAGGGTTGGTGGAATTATGGCCATCAAGTGGGAGTAAACACTTATTGCCAGTTGCTTTTCATGAAGGTCTGTTAGTTTATATTCTCCAAATACTGTATGAGGATGTCTTTTTCTCTGTACTCTGTAAGCTCTGTTGTTGAACCCCAGGGATAAGAGGTAAGGGGTGAGCGGAAGGTGATGCAGGTGGTGTGGACTTGGAGACTTCCCATCTGACGCTCTGTGTTCTGTAAGCACAGAGGCAGGTGGCCTGTGAGAGTGCCCAGGGAGACAGGCAGCAAGTGCTGTTGAGAGAGGAGTCTGTGAGGGTTTATCATCCAGGCTGCTCCCTGTGACTCCCCATAAGGAAATGCTGATGTGGGTCCCAGAGTGACACCTTCTTTAGTTTGCCAAATGTCAAGTTAGGGGCCCAAAGTAAATTTCACAAATAAAAGAGTTCAACTCAGTCCCGCAAGGTCACCTTAATTTGAATGAGGCTTAGTTTAAGAGTGCTTCAGTTGTAATTCATGACTTCATTTTAACAAATAAGTATTTATTGAGGGCCTTCTCTGTACTTAACCCAGTTCTGGGTGGTGGGAATACAAAAGAGGCAGGTCCCTTACCTGCAGGACTTCATCCCTAGTTGTGAATAGGAAATATGCACATGAAACATACAACTAGGAATGCAGACTGGCCCATAATTAAGTGCCCTAATGAAGGCTAACCATAGTTGATTAGTGGTTTGGAGTAATGAAGATTTTCTCATAAAAATGGGTGAGGACTAAGATGGTTAGGAATAAGAGATCTGCTTTAGATAGTGTTCACTTTGAAAAACCTCACCTCAGGGTAGTGGAGTAGCTTTTACTGCTCCCACAAACCTTTCCAGCATTGAGAGGCTCCAGGGTCCTGCCAGGCCTGTTTTACTGATGCATATCTTGAGTTGTCCTGGCTTCCCTTCTGTGATGCTGACTATGTTAATTACTCTGCTGTAGTGAGTTGAAGAAAAGAGGCTTGTGAGATTATTAACTCTTTGCTAACATTTTTGTACCTACAAGTACATTTAAACCAAGAAGTGACTAAATCAACTTGAGGATTCACCAATGTCATATTATCGATTGTATTATCTCTGTTAATATTTTTCTAACATTTCTTGTTTATGTGGGATTTTTCAGATTCATGGAAACAACTACTCTCATAAAGTGGACATCTTTTCTTTAGGCCTCATTCTGTTTGAGTTATTGTACCCCTTCGGCACTCAGATGGAGAGAGTCAGGGTAAGTTCTCCCGCCTCAAAAATGGTGGAAAAATAAAATACTCTTAAATTTACAAAAGAATTTAAACGGGGAATAAGTTACCCTTTTTTTGGGGGGGGGGGGAGTAAATTATTCTTAATACCAGCAGATTGGTTAACTACAAGTGAAGTAGGTAATGTGAACTATAAGGGAGGATTTGTAGACAGTTTGCTTCCATTTAAAGCTCAATCTTAAAAAATTATTTAGTTGAATTTTTAGTTCCTTGTTGTTACTAAAATTGATCCTAACTTAACAGTATCTAGTACTGAGTGACTGTAAGTGCAGAGTGAGGGGAACCATGGGGTGGGAGTGGTGGGAGGCAGTGGTGGCGGCAGTGGGTGGTCACGGGACTATTCCGGAGGACAAATTGCCACTTAACTCATACACTTAAAAGCTGGCAAACTAAGCATACTCACTTGTGTTTTTTTCCCTTTCAAACCACGGCCATGGCTTTTAAGGAAGACAGTACTGAAAGTGTTTACAAGTACCTCTGTCCCGGTCTTCCCCATCCTTCATTAAATGGTCACCCTCAGCTTTTGTAGCTGCTGTCCCTGGCGTTAACTTAAACTTAAGCTGTTTCCAAAACTTAAGCTGTTATCACCATTTCTTCATCAGTTTTAGGCCTTACTTATTGATTCCTGGCCATGGTAGAAGAGGATGTAGGTCTCGCAGATAGCCAAAGGACTCATATTTTCTAACTATTAGGACCTGCCAGAATGAGTCAATTTCAGAACATCCTAAAAGCCTCCAGAAAGGGATATTAAACAGGCCCAACCTATGTAAAGGATCAGGAATCATATGGCGTCAGGACCCCACTAAGAATGTAAAAATACAGTTTACAAAATGGAAGATGTTTGTGAATCATATATCTGATAAGGTTCTAGTATCCAGAATATATAAAAAACTATTACAATTCGACAACAAAAAGAAAATTCAATTTAAAAATGAGCAAAGGACTTAGACATTTCTCCAAAGAAGGTTTACAAATGTCCAATAAGCACATTATTACGTATTAGGGTCATACAAATCAAAGCCACAATGAAATACTAATTCATTCCATATTGGATGGATATAATAATAATAAAAAAATATAACAAGTGTTGGCAAGGATGTGGATAAATTAGAGCCTTCATACATTGCTGATGGGAATTGAAAATTGTACAGCTGCTGTGGAAAACAGTTTGATAGTTACTCAAATAGTTAAACATAGAGTTACATGTGACTCAGCAGTTTCACTCCTAGGTATACACCCAAGAGAAATGAAAACATATTCAACCAAAAAATGTGTACAAAGATGTTCATAGTAGCATTTTTATAATAGCCAGAAAGTAGAAACAACCCAGCCAGCTAATGAATGGCAAAACAAAATGTGAAATGTGGTATGCCCATACAATGGAATATTATTCAGCCAAAAAAGGAATAAAGTACTAATCTATGCTACAACACAAATGAACCTTGAAAACATTGTGCTAACTGAAAGAAGCCAGACACAAAAGACCAATATTGTACGAATTTTATGACATTTATATGAAATATACAGAATAGACAAATCTATAAAGACAGAGTAGATTAATAGTTCCCAGGGGTTGGGGGTAGAAGGAGTAGAGAGTGACTGGTTAATGGGTATGGGGTTTCTTTTGGGGGGATGGAAAGGAAATGTTCTGGAATTAGGGGTGATGGTTGTACATGTGAATAGAATAAAAAGCACTGAGATATATACTTTTAAATGGTTAAAAGGTGAGTTTTATTTCAGTTTAAAAATGTAAATAAAAAACATGTAACTGTAAAAACATTTTGGTTAAATGAAGTCAGTATTTCTCTTGGCCATGAAAATATTGGCCAAGTTCATATAAATGGAATCTTTCAAAACATACTCTTTTGTGTCTCCCTTTTTTGACTCACCAACAAGTTTTTGAGACTCGTTCATGTTACTCAGTGTATCGGTAGTTCATTCATTTTTATTAGTGAAATTCCGTTGTATGTATACCATAGTTCATGTATCCATTTACCTAATGAGAACATTTATGAATAAAGATACTGTGAATATTTGTGACCAAGTCTTTTGTAGACATGTTTTCATCTGTCATGGGTACTGACCTAGGTAGGACTGATAAGCTGTGTGGGGAGTGGTTTACATTCATAAGCAAGTGCCATTTTACATTCCCACACAGGTGTAGGAGAGTTCTGGTTCTTTAACATCCTTGTCAACACATATGTTTCAGTTCTGGAATTAGGTAGTGGTCTTTTTTCAATTCTAAGTTTTAAATAAAAAACTTTGTTTTAAAATATTATATAATTAAAAGTTGATTCAGTGAGTTCAGACTCCAGCGTTTACCTGCACTCAGTTTGGTGTGATCCCCCTGTTAGCACATGGAACCCTCTTCTGTGGGCCTGCGGCACAGGCTCGTCTGGTTAAGTTTCTGTTTTTTTTAGTGGGAAGTAACAAATGACAACCTAGTTCCACTTTTTTTTTTTTTAAGTACACTCCAGCTTCTTTCTTTCTCTCTCTCTTTTTTTAATTTTAATTTTTTTATTTTTATTGAATTTATTGCGGTGACATTGTTTAATAAAATTTTACAGGTTTCACATGTACAATTCTACAATACATCATCTGTATATTGTATTGTGTGTTCACCCCAATTTATGTCTTCTTGCACCACCATTTATCCCCCCTTTACCCTCTCCTACCTCCACGCACCCCTTTTTCAGCTTATTTCTTAATAAATATAAAGATTTATTTGCTTTATTTCATTTCTAAAAACTGGTTTTGTCTAAAGGGGACATATGTAATACTTTCAACAATAAAATATTATTTAAAAAAATAAAAACGAAACAAATTTTTAAAAAACAACAAAAAACTGGTTTTGTCCTCATTACAGAAGTACCAGGTTAATGGGGGGAAAAGGAGGACCTATGTAATACTTTCAACAATAAAGGTGTTTAAAAAAAAAAAAAAAGAAGTTGTTAAGATGAAAAAGCAAAAAATAAAGTATCAGGTACTGTGCAGGTACTGATTTAACCTCATTTAATTCTCACAGTTGTATAGGGCGGACCGTATTGTCTTTGTTTTGTAAACGAGGAAACTGGAACATGAAGAGTAATAATTTATCTGAAAACTTCCCAGAGAGTTTTTAAAAGCTTAGTTTTATACTCAGTACTTAGCATAATTGTTTGGTTTCCATCACTCAAAAAAATAAAAAGGAAAAGAATATGCTTTTTTTAAAAACCAAGTGCAGAGATGTTAGGAGCTGATAAGAAAGGTTACCCACTGAAGGACACTGGATTCCTGAGAGCTGAGTTACTTTGGTACTCGTCAGCCTGTGCTCAGCCACAGGCCAGGTGTTGGCTCCATGTGCATAGTTCAAGTATAATTACACCTGAGTGATTCTCTGGTTTTGGTGATTGGATGCTGTGTGCACGTGGGCCCAGGAAATAGCGATGTGTAGGTTACCATCAGAAAAAGCTACTGATGAGTTCTCCACCTGTTAACATTCACCCTCTCTCCTTGGTCATGCCTCTAAAGCAGTGGTTCTCAACCTTGGAACCACTGCTCTAAAATATCAAAAATACTTCATGTTTAAATAGATCTATATATCAAAATAGATTTAAAGATAAGTAACACCTTTTCTCTTACTTTTCTTTCTTTTTAGGTCTTAACTGATGTAAGAAATCTCAGATTTCCACCACTGTTTACTCAGAAATATCCTCGTGAGGTTTGTATAATTCTCATCTTTTATTTTCTTTAGAATCATATTTAGAACTTAAAGGGTCCTTAGCAGTCAGTTCATCAGTTGCCCCATTTTACTGATGAAGCTACAGGTGTAGGGAGGACAGGAACCTGAGCCAGAGCACCGTCTTGTTAAAACAAGACTGGAGCTCCTCAGGGCCGTGGGCCTGGTCTGTGCTCCCAAGCTTCTGGCGTTCTGCCTGTGGATTGTAGCCACCTTTCCCTTCTACAGGGCTCAACTCCAGGTGGACCTCGCAGGACAGTTGTTATTGTTACCATGGCATTAATGGCTTTATCTTTGTGAATTTGGGAGCGATCTTAAAAACTGGCTTCTTTGGGGTGGGGGCATTAGGTCCTACTGATTGTGTGTTGGAGTCAGACGGCTCAGAGTGCCACAGTAGAATGTCAGGAGAGGGGTGGGACATAAGCTAGTCTTGTATGGTGAAAGTTATGTGTGATGAACCTTTGACGGTTTCTTTTTTCAGCTTTTGTTTATTTTTATTTCATAAAATGTTTTGTCCACATACCCTTTAAAATTTACACATTGATTACTCTTGAATTTTCTTAAATAATTAAGTTGAAGTAAGTTAGACTTAATCATAGATTGAAGTTTAAATTTATCTTTCAGTATTATAAGTATAATAAAGGATTGCATTAAAATGAATTTTATAATAATAGATACTGGTACACTAACCTAAATGAAATATATTTTTATTAAAAATCATTTCGTTATATATTTTGCAGATTTAATGACTCAATTAAATGAGAATATGTTACATTAAAGGGGTTCAAAAAATTCTTAAAAGTGTCAGGTGTTGATCTCTGGCATAGTTATATTTGAATTGAAATTTTTATTGAGATGATTGTACATTCATGTGCAGTTGTAAGTGAATTTGTTTCTAGAGTCAGATTATGTGTGTGTTTCAAGGATATGATTTAGGACTCTTTATTACATCTTAGATAACAAGCAATTACCCACAGTGGCCCATATTTATTTGGAGCAGGAGTTGGCCAAGTCCAGCCTGCTGCCTGTATCTATACTAATAATAGAGGAATATGCAAATTGACCAGGATGCCATCATGTAATGACCAATCAGGACGGGAGTGGGGCTGCGGTGGAGAGCTCTCAGCACGCCTGCGCCAGGGGTCCGAAGGGCGTGGAGAGGAAGGGAGAGCAGATAGGCAGTTAGGGGGATTAGGCCAGGAGGGGAGCGGAGATAGGCAGTTAGGGGGATCAGGCCAGGAGGGGAGAGCAGTTAGGCAGTTAGGGTGATCAGGCCAGGAGGAGAGAGCAGTGGGGATCAGCCCGGCAGGGGAGAGCAATTAGGAGGATCAGGCCAGGAGGGGAGAGCAGGTAGGGGCATCAGGCAGGCAGGTGAGTGGTTAGGAGCCAGTGGTTCCAGATTGCGAGAGGGATCCCGGATTGGAGAGGGTGCAGGCTGAGCTGAGGGACCCGCCCCTCCCCTGTGCACAAAATTTCATGCACCAGGCCTCTAGTCCTATCTAATAATAGAGAAACATGGTAATTAGCCGTACCTCCGCTACCCTTCCCATTGGCTAATCAGGGCGATATGCAAATTAACTGCCAACCAAGATGGCAGCCGGCAGCCAAGCAGCTTGAAGCGAACAGGAGGCTTGCTTGCTCCAGTGACGGAGGAAGCCAATGTTCCCCGCCTGCCTTGCCGGCCTCTGAGCTGCTCTCTAAGAAACATTGTTACAAATATAGAAGCTAAACAAACTGCAGAAACCTGCTTTCAGCCGTCAGAGCTGGAGCGAGCAGGACTGAAACAATGTTTCAATTATAGAACCCAAACAAACCCAGATCCCTGCTTTCAGCAGCCGAGGTCTCAAGCTGGAGCCGGCTCTCAGCTCCAGTGACAGCCATAGAAGGTAAATAAACTCCAGAATAAAAAAAAAAAAAAGGAAAAAGGAGAGGTTGGGAGCTTCAGTCGCCCACCCTTCTCTGTGCCTGATAGGGGGGAGCTCCCCAGCCCCCTGATCGGCTCTGCTCTGTGTGTGACATGGTGCAGCGCCCCAACCCCCCCATGGGCCCTGCTCTGTGTGTGAAGGGGTGGAGCCGCAACCTCCTCATCGGCCCTGCCCTGAATGTGATAGGGGAAGGCGCCCCAACCCCCTGATCAACCCTTCTCTGTGCCTGATAGGGGGGAGCTCCCCAGCCCCCTGATCGGCTCTGCTCTGTGTGTGACATGGTGCAGCGCCCCAACCCCCCCATGGGCCCTGCTCTGTGTGTGAAGGGGTGGAGCCGCAACCTCCTCATCGGCCCTGCCCTGAATGTGATAGGGGAAGGCGCCCCAACCCCCTGATCAACCCTTCTCTGTGCCTGATAGGGGGGAGCTCCCCAGCCCCCTGATCGGCTCTGCTCTGTGTGTGACATGGTGCAGCGCCCCAACCCCCCCATGGGCCCTGCTCTGTGTGTGAAGGGGTGGAGCCGCAACCTCCTCATCGGCCCTGCCCTGAATGTGATAGGGGAAGGCGCCCCAACCCCCTGATCAACCCTTCTCTGTGCCTGATAGGGGGGAGCTCCCCAGCCCCCTGATCGGCCCTGCTCTGTGTGTGACATGGTGCAGCGCCCCAACCCCCCCATGGGCCCTGCTCTGTGTGTGAAGGGGTGGAGCCGCAACCTCCTCATCGGCCCTGCCCTGAATGTGATAGGGGAAGGCGCCCCAACCCCCTGATCAACCCTTCTCTGTGCCTGATAGGGGGGAGCTCCCCAACCCCCTGATCGCCCAGCGGCTCTGTGTGTGACAGGTGGCGGCGCCCCAACCCCCTGATTGGCCCTGCTCTGTGTGTAACAGGGAGCGGGGCCACAACCTCCCTATCTACCCTGCTCTGTTCGTGACAGGGGAAGGCGCCCCAACCCCCTGATCAACCCTTCTCTGTGCCTGATAGGGGGGAGCTCCCCAACCCCCTGATCG